AGCCTTTCCCGCCCCTCACCCCGACCCCCCGCGGGCTCGCAGCCCCGACCTAGCTCCCATTGCCCAGGCAGCAGGGCCCCAGGGGCTGCCCACAGGCCGAGGGACAGCCTGATCTCAAAGGTCTGTCACTAGCAGAGGCCGGAGACCCACCACCCTGGGGACACCGCCAGGCCGGCGTCTCACCTAGGAGCACGCTGAGCAGCCAGCTGTAGAAGTACTGCGTCCTCCGGGAGTGCTGGCAGATGCTCACCACGCAGGCCGCCGCCGTCCGCCGCGTGGTCGGGGAGCTGGACTTCAGGTTCGTGATGAAAGCCTTCAGCAGAACCTGTGGCCACGAGCACCATGGAGAGAAGAGGACGGCCCATGAGGCTTCCTGTGCCTTTCAGAAACCTAATTCGTTCCTAATCCTCACAGAGCTAAGTCTCTCCCGGGCTGAACAGAAGCACCCAATTCGGGGAACCCCAGAGCAGCGCGACACAGGGACCGTCCAGCTCCCGCCGCCGAGGGCCAGCAGAGACCTGGGAGGTGGAAGCCCTAGCTCCGGAGAAGCTGTACCCACAGTATTTGAGGACGGGGTCAAGACTGACACCGTGTAACATAAATGCGGTAAAAAAAAAAAAAAAAAAATCGAAAAATCACGAGGCCAAAGAGAAAAGAGCAGCCAGCTACAGCCACGTCAGGCCTAAGAGACGGCTCGTACACGTGCTGCCTGCGACGGTCACTAAGAGGCGCCCTTGGGCCTGGAGCACGGACAAGCAGACTGGACTGTGCAGCACACGCTCACTCTGTGCTAAGAAGTCAGGGAGCTGGACGTCGCTGGACCTCGGAATAACCCAGACGAGCTTCCCGGACAGCGTGGGGAGCCCACCCAGCACCCCAAGCCCATCTGCTCGGGAGCAGCGCCTTCTACACACGCGTGGATACACCAGCCCCTAGTCAACTCTTCACCCACAAGAACAGCAAAAGGGCAGAAGTAGGAAGAAGCTCTTCGTGTGCCTCGGAAGATTCTAATGGAAATTATGGGCACGACACGCCCTGGCTGGGTAGTTCGTTGGCTGAAGTGTCGTCCCAATACACCAAGGTTGCGAGTTCCATCCCCAGTCAGGGCACATTCAAGGATCAACCAATGAATGCAAAATGGGTGGAGACACAAATGGGTGGAGACACAAATGGATGGCTCTCTCTCTCTCTCTCTCTCTCTCTCCCTCCCTCCCTCTCTAAAATCAATAAATAAAAACTAAAAAATAAATAAATTATAAGCACAACAGAACTTAAGTACTTTCAAATGACTGTCCCAAAGCCCTAACTCCCCACAGACTCATTCGCAGGTGTGTAAGACTCATACCTTAATCTCATTGTCATTTGCAAAATTGCCGAGCGAAGCCATAATTTTGGGTATAGCTGCAGCCAAGGTCTCCTGAACAGACTCCTCAGGTCTCTTGCTTGTTCGTGTCAGGCAAGGCAGGAGGTTCACCAAGTAAGGCCTGCATGTGAGAAAGGAAGCTGGGTTACTCTACCAGGTCCACTTTAGTAAGACACAACAACTAGTTTAGTGCCTGTGGGAGAACAACCAGTTTTTATAGCAAAACAGTCCTCAATGGAGAGGGGACAAACCTCAGCTAAAAGAACGGGAGGGCGAACTGCACATGAAGTTCAAATGCTGGCAGACGCTCAGCCTTCACTTCCCCCATAACCAGAGGACTCTCCAAAGCAGTTAAAAATTATTTGCAGCCCAGCTGTGTGGCTCAGGGGCAGAGCATCGACCTATGAACCAGGAGGTCATGGTTTGATTCCCTGTCAGGGCACATGCCCAGGTTGTGGGCTTGATCCCCAGTGTGCGGCGTGCAGGAGGCAGCCGATCAATGATTCTCTCTCCTCATTGATGTTTCTCTCTCTCTCCCTCTCCCTCCCCCTCTGAAGTAAATTTAAAACATTTTTTTAATAAAATAAATTTTCAAAATTATTTGCAGTAAATAATAAGTTATTACAACACTCATATTTTAAATTAGAAAATAAGAGATAATATAAGAAACACCACTTTAGGAGTAGAGGAAGGTTGGGGATAGATGGCGATACAAGGAGACTTGACTTGGGGTGGATACACAATACACTGTACAGACGATGTGTTGTGGAATTGTGCACCTGAAACCTGTATAATTTTGTTAACCAGCGTCACACCAATAAATTCTATCAAAAAGATTGAATTTTCTGAAAAACACAAAATCTCCTAAGAGAGCTCTGCAACTGCACCGCTTGCACCAAGCCTCTGCTCCGAAGGGGCGGCACTGCCCACTTCCCCAGGGCACCGGACCCTCCCGCCTTGGGAGAGTCCCGCCTCCCCGGGCAACCAGCCCTGAGGTCC